ATGGTACAGGTTTACTAGTATTGACAGCACTGTCTGTGATTTTCAAGTTTGTCCTGCTATCCTCTGCTGAAGCAGAAATTAGCCCTCTCAGAGTTTGATTGTGCTATTCAAAAAAAAAAAAAAAAAGCCCTTCTCTTATTAGAAACAGAAGCTTTCATTCTCTCTTGAGGCCTGATATTTATGATCAAGCATTTCATGCCTACTTCTCTTGTCCTAATTCTGGTCATTTGCAACAATGCTGGTGTTAAGTGACTATGAAACCCTAGTCTCTGAAGTAATCAAATTTTCAGGCCCTGAGCCCTATGTCACATGGAATCATTTATTGCAGTACAATAGGAAATACAGTCACTATTCATAACAGTATTTCTGGAGGAAGTAATGCTGCTCATTGCTGAGTAACAGTGTACCCAGATGACTATAGGCTGTAAGTTGTGTCTTAGAAATCAATGGATTTTTGCATTTAGAACTAACAGATGAGAGAGTAAATTGCCAAAGAAACAGCAGAGAGAGGAAATAGGCAGAGTACTAAGCTCCCAGTCACAAGCTCACCAAGTACCTGGTCACATGGAAGTGCTAATTTCCCAGATCCAGCTGATAAGGTGCGCTGAACTTCTCTTGGCAGCTGGATGACATGGGCCAGGAGGAAGTAGCAAAGCTCCATCACTGGCTAAACAGCCTGGCAAGGAGCTCAGTCCTTTTTTCCCACACAAAAACTCCACAGCTCTGCTATCAGCCTCAGTATCTCCTTGTACACAACATCTGGTGGGATCTTGGCATATAAATAACAGAGATTCAACTGCAGATGGTTAAACTGAACCATGCAAGAATTGCTGCAGCTTGTTGTATTAAGGCTCTGAAATTCAAAGCTTACCTTAGAGTCACTTCCTTTAGTCTTGATGAAGTTGTAGAGAAAAAAAAAAGGCCCAAGCCTCTCAGTTTTCCAAATGTAGTAAAAAGTGTTTGAATACACACTTTAATATATTTTCTGTGGCATTTTTGTAAAATACAGATATATAATTATAGATATAATGCATATATAGCATTTACTGTATTGATAAAAAGCTAGTCTTTACACAATGACACACCAGTATTTACAGCATGATTCAAATTTTAAGGAACAAATGTTTCAAACAATATTGTGTGGTTATATGATAAGAATAATTTGAGGAAAAATAAGAGACCAATTCTAAAAGATTCCCAGACAATAAAGCACATAGTCCTGTCAGGAGTACCTCCATGAACATCCATGCACAACCCTATTTTAAACTCCTTGCACGATTTAGCTCTTCCGCATTTCTACTGAGTCAACAACCCTTAAGATGACGTGGATAATTACCCTTTTCCAAGTACAGATTAATTGTACCATCTTTCCCATTTAAAGATTTGTCCAACTGCAACATTTCAAAGTTTTGGCTAGAGCAGGAGTTACTATACACAAGTTACTTGTTAATTTAAACCAATAGAGCTATGATGATTCACATAACTGAAAACTTGCCCATCTTCTACACATCTTAGAACCCTTTCACAAGCCATTAGTGTGAGGTTTTTGAATAGCACTTTTAGCATTGCATTTGCTAGGAGATCTGCCTCAGAAGACACTGCAATGACTACGGACAGACCTGAAGTACATGAACGCCCTTTGTTATCCTCATATATATGTGTTTCTTAGCCATTCATCTGTAATGTACTGTCCACAGCACTGCACAAGCAAAGATGATCTTCATCTTCTAAGTACCTTTCCTGTGAGGCAGAGAAGTGCTATTGTCACATTTTACAGAAAGAAAAAATTCTGCTAGAGATACTGAGTGAACTGTGTAAGGTCACTTAGGAAGTTTGAGACAGCAAAGAAGCAAACCCACATCTCAATTGCATCCTCTTGTCTTTCCAACTTTGAATGAGAACTTTATATGTACAAATATGCAACCAGTAGAAAAAAAGCCCTCTCCAGACACAGGCTTAAAGATTGCTGTCTTTTCTCTTCTGCTCCCAGATAATAAGAGGAGATAGCACGAGGACTGTTTCTGCATGCATTATCTCCATCACACTGTAGAAATATTAGCTTCAATGAGTCCTTCTTGAAGTGGGAGTAGTTAAGCCCACTATTTTGACAGAAAAGACATAGGTACACTTGAGAAACATGAAAACCCACCTTCACCAAAACAATCTAACAAATAAAATCTGAAAGGCCTTGATCTCCTTCAATGCTGACCGGAGAAGTGTTTTCATCTACATTTGTACCCACCTTGTAATACTTTTACATCACCTGTACAATGTAAATGAGGCTTAGTTTGCAGTTGAAGATGAACTGTTCTCACAAGCATTAAAATTCGTTCCACAACCCCTGAGGCTCAGCTCCAATGGATGGGCAGCTGAGAGGCAGCTTTTGCAGCAGGACTGATGCACACCGGGGCTGTGCAGGTACAGATGAGGGCAGAAATTTCGCCATGACAAGTGTCTCCCTCTGTCCTTGTCACTCTGGAAAAGCCTGGTCAGGAGCAGGTTGTGATCTATATTCTTACAAATGCCATTTAAAAAACAGAGGTGTGAACAAAGGAAACCTCTCCAATTTCAGGACAGAAACTGCAGAAACAGAGGACCAGGGAAGCAGCTACAACAACATTTTCCTTCCAGAAACATTTGTTGGCAAACTTGGCCATCTGCCTAATTGATACAGGTGATGTATTTTTGAGGATGTAGGACCTTTTGCCCTCATTAAAAAAAAAAAAAGACCAACTCAACAAACCAAATCCAAACAGAGCACACACACAAAATGGGTAAAACCAATAATGGAATTTTTCATCTTGCTCACTTTTTTTTTTTCCTAAATCAAACCTGCATTTTCCTTTAAAAAAAGTAAAAATACAAAAACAAAGATATATTAGAATATCCTACTGTCCAGTAAATGTCTTATAGGCAATATTTATGGAGGGAAAAAAATGCATCAAGCCCTTCCTTTGACAAAAGTTAAGCATCCTGAAGTTCATTCCGTACCAAGGAATGCTGCTTTTTATGCTGTTGCATTAAATCATTCCTATCATCACAATTTGAATACACATTATTTGTCTTCAAATATCTAATCATATATCTAGAATAATGTTGAAAAAATAAATCTTAGTGAGCATGTTGTGCTGTTGATAAGCTAAAGACAGCATATCATGAGAAGGCAAACTTATCTTTCCATTTACTTTGCAAATAACTTGTTAGCTAAACTTAGATCTTTGGCTGGGTGCTTGATGCTTAACAAGAAGTCCAAATACCTACCCTTTGTATCCCTTATAACAGAGAAGAAACTTGTAAAATGCCTTTGGTGCATCAGCTTATCATTGTATGAATGTTTTAAAGAAAGTCACCAGTACTATAGGATGTGTAAGTGGGCTTGTTTGTGTTGTTTAATACTCCAAGTGTCATTTCATTCTTTAAAGGGGTTAGAACAGAGGAGGGGGAAAGGGGAGGAAGTCTTACTTAATTTGTTGCATATGTCCCAACGTGTTATACAACTTAGTGTATTATACCAGAAAACTAAAGCAGTCTGCGCCGCAGTAAACTGTGTAACTCAAAATAGGAGAATAATCTGGCCACAAGCAAGTCCAAAATTCAGTGAAACTTCCTCTCATATTATATATACACACACTTTACAAGCTATGCTGAGTGTCCTTTCATATTCCAAAAGAAATACATTGTAGACACCAAACATACTGTACTTTTACTTAAAGGCTTCATCAAACCATATGTGCAGACACTTGAGAAGATGAGAGTGTCAAGCTTCCTAGGGTCCTAGAGTCAAAGAAATTCTGCTGCCCCCCACTGCTAAGTAAGTGCACTCCTTCCACGGGGGGCAACATCTGCCGATCCGTCATGGTTCCACTTGGCGAGGACCCCAAGAAACTTCCTTGGGAAGAAACGATTTTCTCAGGACTGGCAGCCAGTTTAGGGGATGTGGAAAAGTTATATCCATAGAGTGCACAGGGACTGTGCAGTCTAAACGTGTTGTAGGAGCCTTGGTGGGTTTGATTAGTGGTAAAGGCATTGCTGGATGGGGATGGCATGATGTACTGGAGCTGTGGAGACATCCCTGAAATCTGCATAGATAAGCCAGTCTGTGGGCAGCTGAATGCATCCCCATCATTGCCACTCATAGACATATTCACAGTTGTGCTACTTGACACACCGACATAGGAGGGAGTCCTCGGGGGTGCAAACGTCTCACTGGTTTGGTTTGTGAGCCTGTTGTAGGTTTCAGCCAAGGATGTGCTGTATCTGTTCAGGGTCAAGCCTGAGCGGGCACAAGCTGTGTAGTCAGCTGGAGCAAGGGTACACAGCTGGCTAGTGTTGGGACTGAGGTGGAAGGCTGGAGATGAGCAAGGGGAACCGGGTAAAAGGTGAGGGTGGGTAGATGGCACTCCACTGCCAGATCCCTGGAGCAAGGTAGAGGAACCTGCATTTCCTGGAAGAGAATATTACAGTGTGAGAAGCACGTCGGGAAAGGTTCACTTCCTAGGTGTCTTGTCTTTTATAATAACCCCTGACATGAAACACAACTCAAATTAATTGAAAAAGTCTTTTACATACATGTGCAGGAGAGTGTGTGAGTAAGTCACATGCATATTTCTAAAGAAACAACTTGACCAAGAAAGAACGTAAATTACATTTTCACAGCCATCACTCAACACTTAAGAGTTCCTGCCCAAAACATTAACTGCTGAAAGCAAATTGCATGGCAGTTAAGGTGTAGCCAAATGAGTACCACATCACAGGAAACATTCTTCAAAATTAAGATTTTTGGCTTGTCTATGCTCTTGCTACAGTCTGGAGTGTGCTTCAAGCACTGTGTGGCTGACTATCACTCTCAGAGCATCAGCTGAGGAACCAGCTCCTTAGCTCAGATGATAGAGGCTCCCACAGTTTACAGCTTCAGGAAAGTTCCCAACTTCAGCACAAAATTCCAGAACAACAAAATCTTCTGACTTCAAAAAAATCTGAGATCAAACCTTCAGAACACCTTCAGGAAAAGTATAGGCTGAATACTATGCAGCGCTGCTCCATGTCATGAACAGATATGTTTGCAGCAACCTGTTTGCAAATTGTTCATCTACTGATATCAGAACTTTTTACATTACAAATACCAGTGCTGAATGCCCCTGAAAACGCACTGCTTGCTACAGGTGAAGCCTTTTCTCAGGACTGAAAGTTTCCCAGCTGCAAGATACACTTTTCTTGAAAGATTTTGTCTCCCTGAACACTGTGTGTAGGAAAACTAACTAGAGCCTTTCACAGTCTCCTAGGCAGAAGACATTTAACAAGGAAGACTCATGTTTGTGAATCACAGTAACAATCAAACAGCTTGATGCTGCAAGAGATACATACTGTCAATAAGTTAGCAGGTTATGGTGAAAAGGAAAAATACATTGTCAGTGAACCCTGCCTGCTGCTTCTTGCTCTGTTGACAGGACACCACAAGTTCAAAGCACCATAAGACACTGCCACATTCCAGAAATCCTGATACAAGACACACTTATGTTTTTTTCCCATATATGTCAATACCTCCACTACCTGAAGTGGGCACTTTAAGCATTAACAACCTGGACAAATTTCTAACCATCCTAATGTCCAAGGTATAGATGACTATAGATTTTGCAAGGATCCCAGACTCCATCCTCAGAACATCAACAGTAACTTCAACAAGCTCCTTAACTTCAGGCAACAGCAGAAAGGAAGTGCAAAGCTCATGGCAGCAGTTCTGCTTCTCTCAAGCAATGCTGCTACACACAAACAGGACAATAAAGCTGGTCTGTATTCTAAATGGGTTAAATGTGTAGCCAGTTGCCTTTCTGTCTTACAGTCTGACAAGGTATTTCATGTCTGATGCTAACTTCTAATTACAGATCTTGTTAGAGGACTGTCTCTCACTCCCATGCTCTGCCCAAAACTCTGCCAACACTCATCCAGCATATCTATGGCTTTGCACAAAAACCTCCTTTTAATTGCCCACATCAAACACTGATGCTCAAGATTTCTCAAAGGAATGGGCTAAGGAGAAGTTGACAAAAGTGATTTCTCTGAACTTCTGTATTTTCTGAATTTTTGCTCTGAAGACACTTAGCAACTTTGCAATACACTATCAAGAAAGCAGACTGGATGTTTGCAAGTTTGGTAGCAGGAAATGTGGAGAATCAGAAGCAGTATGTCTGATTTAATTGTGAAAAAAGCTGAGAGGTTTTCTATATGTATTGGGGTACTCTGGAAATAAAGGAACTCAGAAAAGAGTACAGAGATTCCCTTCTATGTCCAAACACACTGTTTAAATGTTTCTCTCATTCATGGCACTACCTGTATAATGGGAAAAGTGGAAACTAAGAGGTTTCCAACAAAGACTGATGAGCAGGAAAAAGCAAAATGGAGAGGAGATCCATTTTTTCAAGTATAGGATGCAGATTTAGTTTGTTGGCACATTTACTGAACACATTTTAGGTCTTTGAGAATCAAGAAGTCTTTCCAAGGAAGAAACTCAATTAAGTTTGCTAGTATTTATTCATTACTTAAGATGACATTTCTTCTCTTATTCCTTTTTTGTTTCCCCTCTTAAAAACACGAGTAATTCCTGCACTGGAGTTTGGATGTATATAACAGAAGTAATCTATAAATGATCTCTGCCTTTTGTATCTAGTCAGAGCGTAATACTAAGGAATAGATTATTCAATCCTTAAATAACAAGCATTCTCCTCCACAGATTTATCTTTACAATATAACATTTTTATTGCTACAGTGATTGAGTTAATACTAGTTTCCTAATTTAGAATAACTCTGATGAGAGGTCATGGCATGCACTGGGGTTAACTGGTTGTTTTCTCTCTGCAAGTGACATGCTTACCTAGACTTTCGTAAAGCATGATGGGCAAAGCTTTATCTTCATGCACTTTTGTTTTGAAAGAACACAAAAATGGGCATTACCTTGTTTGGGTATGCCTGGTATATCTTCAAATGTAAGTGTCCTCAGTGAAGGTCTCCAGAAGGCATAAGACTCTACCAGAGCTTCCAGTCCCATTCTGTTTAGAACAAAAGAGTCATGCTGTCATGAAAACAAGCTGTGTTTTGTCACACATTTCTCAATATTATATCTCAGAAATGTAGAAAAATTAGTCACATTTCAGGATTACTTCGAAATCGATTTTGCTTTTTAGAAAAGAGCCTTACATCCTGTCCATGAGATCACTGAGATCTGCAACCACTGGTCTGGCAGCACACAAAGAGTTTTCCAATTCCACAAGTCTATTTCAATAGTTTGGGCCTTTGGGGACAGCTGATGAGTGAAGAGACTTGGCTAAAATTACACTAAATGTTTTCCTAGTAGGATATTTCCCTAAGAGTTCATCTTTCTGGCTCTAATTCCCAGAGGAATGATCTCCTATTTCTGCCTAGAACAAAGGTAATCCACTGACAACTTCTATTAAAACAGGATTTCCTTTCATTACTGATGAGCTGGAAAAATCACACTTAAAACTTGAGCAAGGCATGGGTGTAAAACTCTTTTGCTACTGAAATGTAAAAAGCAATGTTGTGTCTTGGATATTACATGCTGAGCAAAATGCCTTTAGATACTGAAAATATTCTGTCATTTTCTTTCAACAGTGTCTTGAGAAAATAGAAGTAACGGTGTAGACAATGGTGGCAGACACTATTTAGATGAATCTCTGTTTCCTGAAGGTAAAGGCCCATTTGTTTTCTGACAATTATTTATGAATAATGCACCTCAGAGGGATATATACACAGAGGTATAATTATGCTGTTATTTTTGGCTGCTGGGCCTCAGAGGCCTGTTAAGTGTCAGCATCAGGCACACACCAAATACAAGTGCTTGCCTTTGAGCAGCAGCACTCTGTAAACTCAAATTATGCAAAGAGCCCAATTTGAAGCAACAGCGTGTTTGATACTGCTCCTTCCCCATTGCATTTCCAGCAGGAACACAAATGTGTGTCAGGAAACATTTATAAAGTATTTATTAGCTGAACCTGGACTAAAAAGATAGCCTTAATTTTCTGCAGTAATGGTGAATTTTCATTTCTAGTTAAAGTGGAGATAAAAGCCACCTCCTGGAGGAGTGTAGCCAAGGCGATAATTTATACAAGATGCCTTCGAACAATTTCCACATTTTATCACCACCCTAATTTGCGCTATCAAATGGCCAAGTTTATTTAACAAAACAGTTATGTTTTTCCTGAAGTATTTAAAGGGAGAAATTCTGGTCCTTTCCTGAGTAAAAGTTTTTTATAGGGTCAAACTTAAGGCCCAACTGAAGAATGAAACTATTCTCAGCACATAAATTCTGTTGCACTTTGCAAATGCACAGGGAATGCTTTTAAAAGGTGAAGCTACTGATTTCTGTAAAATAGCCCGTGGGACTGAACAGGAATTACCTGAAAGGGAATTTTTTAATTAAACAGAATTATTACATGTAGCAGTGCAGAGTAAGATAGTTGCAATAATTAAAGCAATATTGAAAAGTTGGATATAATCTTGCTGTAGTATTTTTTTAACTTTGTTGCAAAATAAAATGCCTCAGTGATAAACACACCAGCTTGAACAATGAAGATAATAGAACCTTAACATTCAATTTCAGTATTTAGTAACACAATAAGTTAATAATCAGCTGAGAAACTCAATAGAAAATTCCCAAACACTTATTCAGTAAGCCACAGAGACTATCAAAGAAAACAGCAATACTGACTTCAGTAAACCAACGTCAATGTGCAACAGACAAGAGTTTGCAGAGTCACTTCTGTAACAAGTATGTTTGTTACAGAAAAAGCATTCAAACCTCATCTAAAGGCTGCTCTGAAACGTGTTCCAGAGCCCAATCCTTCCTTCAGGACCGACCTTAACTCATTTCCATAAAATATAAGCATCTTTCAACTAAAATATCCTGCTTTTTTGTGATGCCCAAACCAAACTGTTCCTAGCAGCCAAAGAATCCTCTTTGGATATCCCCAGTCCTAAAACTGGATTTGTGTGGCTGCAGATGCAGTACTCTTACACCACCTACATTGTTTTAAGGTAAAACCAGAGCTCTCCTACCACATTAAAACCTATTCAAAACTGGTTTCTGAAATATTATTCCCTCTCTATTTTAAAGAGCATATTCTCTTCTTTCATATAACATCATGGAAGAAATTTGAAGGACTCTTAAAACTCCTACATTTCAGACGATCAGGGTTTCACACTTCTTAGGAGGTTCCTTACTACTTATTTTATAGTTCTGCAAGCACAGCAGAGACACTGCCTGTGGAAAGCTTTCAAACAGGGCATGTATCACAAGTCTTTTCTTCCCCAAGTACACACAGCATGTTTTGCTTCTTCAGTCACTGCATTTATCTGAAAGTTACTGTTCACATAGTTTCAAACTATAAGGCTACAAAGGAGGGCAAAGCTCTATTTAGATTGGTGCCTGGGGCAGCCCTTCCAGGCCCTAGGGCAAAGCATGGTTATTTGTTTCTTACTAGAAGCAAAAATCTCAGCTGAAAAGCTACTTACAGTGAATTCCTGTAAATCTTTACAACTACACCACCCCTTCTATAAGTATTCACCTCCTAAAAACTACTCTCATTCACCATCCAGTCTCAACTTTTATGCAATTCAGGTGGAAGCACAAACCAGGCTTTTATGCTGTAGCCTCTGCTAACAGAGAAGCTCAATAAAGCAGGTATCAAAAAGAAACTCTCTGATCACTCCTACCAGCACAGAGTCTGTCCCCTTCTCCGCAAGGCTATGTCATAAATATAGCAGCTGTAGACACCAAATGCAACGTGGTAACTGGAAATGATGTATAATATACACCACAATGAAATGCTGCTTTTTTTAGCTGAAATAGTTTAACATACAATTCATAACAGGCTTAAGTAGTTTGCATTAAACATCGTCGGATAAAATACCTCATCAGCACTGGCAGCCCAGACTAGACCCAAGTCTCCACTTTGCACTACTCAGATTTCTCATTGCTATTTTGAAAGATTCATGGATCAAGAGAGAACAAGCAATTAATCAGTCCATCCACAACAGAAGTGCAAACCAGGCTTGTTTCAAGGTCTTCTATTGCCTACTAGGAAAGGCATTTGCCTAGGAAGTGGATTTAAAACTCCTTAGAGTAAATAGACACTTGAACACAGGTCTCCCACCTCCTAGGGAGTGTACTAAACATAAGATTACTGCACAAACCAACATAATTTCTCCTCCTTTAGGAGAAAACAACTAACCATTCATCCATACCAAATGCCACTTATATGCAAGATAATCTCGGCTTATAGTTTGACAGTAGCATCTGCAATTTGTGTTTTCAGCCAGCAGAAAGATTTCAGGAGCAGCCTGAAATCACAGACCTGTGTATTTATTAATTCCACTTACAGCCTTCATGCTTCCACCGAAAGTAAAACTTGAGTCTGTGAGTCACACTTAGTGCCAAATTGTTCCTGACCCAGATGGTCAGAGGAGTTGTTATGGGAGCTCACCACAGATAACATTACTGGGAAAGGTAAGTGCTCCCTCAAGGAGCCTGAGTTCTCAGATTAGTCTGTCTGTAAGTTGGACAGCCTTCACAAACTGATTCTGTCAGCAGTAACAAGCCCACCTTCTTCCCAACACCTACCTGTTACGCCCCGAATCTCTAAACCCTTTGGCGAATGGATTCCTATCAATCTTCAGACGAGTGATCTGTAAATATGATTAAGAGAAATTATTACCTGTAAATTCAGCTAACTAGCACACAATGTTACTCTCCTGACAGAATTAAGCTGACAGGAGAGAAAGATCATCACATTTGTATGGTTTAAGATGGTTGTCCTGAAACATAGCAAAATAAGGGCAAATCTTCTGATCATTATTGTTTGCAGATCCCCAGAGAAGTTAATAGGTATTTAATGCTACCAAATGGCAGGTTGGAATTCTTGAGAAGAATCTTGTGGCAAATGTCATTTTTCACCTAAGAGTACACTGCCTAATTGCAATAGAATTTAAATTAAGTATTATTTTTGTACAGGTCAAGAAGAAAATGTGAAAAGAGAGATTATCTCTAAGTTATTGTCCTTCATTTAAAAACAAAAAAAAAAAGCAAAATATCCCCCACCCCAAATACTTGCAATTTATTGAAATAAATCGGATAGTCCCCAGATAATTATGTTTCAGTGTTTACATGTCTCTCCTGCTGTTCTCTTTGTAAATAATATATGCTGTTAATAATATATGCTGAATGCAGTTAAGGAAAGTGACTACAATTGTCTTCAGACCTCAGGTTCTCTGTTAAAGTCCTGAGAGATTTGAAACCACTGAAGTCAAGACCAGAAGTGCTTTAAAACTTCTAGCCAGAAGTGTATCTTCACTTTAAGGTACAGAAACATTTTTTAAAATTAGGCTGATCTTTACTTTGTTCTTCATTGCTGTATTTACAATAAAGGCACCATTAAACATGATAATTAGACTGGGTGAACTCCATAATAATGACTTTTTCCATGCAGCTTCTAGCCCACATGGCCTGAAGTCTCAGCTGTAGCCTCCAGGCGCTGCTGCAATACTACCAATGAAAGCTACTTAATAAGTGGTATAATAAAAGTATCTGCTTTTCTCCTATCTCTTATGTCCCTGTTCTGCTCTGAAAAGCCTATAAAGTGCTAAGCAGAAAGACCAAATTACCTGTTGATTTTGGTATGCTGTGACAGTAGTGAAAACTGTCTCTGGAAAGGAGAAGGCTTTCACCCCTTCTCCTGAAGGGATAGGCTTGACGGGGGACAGATCATCACCACAGTCTTTTCGGATGACGTGGACACGAGGCTGATATTTATGCATAGAGTGAAGGATAATCTGTGCAGTCATGAAAGGAAAAAGATAACATTTATTAGAAAGGACACCCTGCTGTTTCAGGACTAATAGCTTTTTGGAACAGATTATGGTATGTGTTTACCATGCCACTTACTGGAAATCAAATGTTTTCTTTAACCTCTGAAGGTTCTTATTACAGTAGTCTAATCCCTGTGCATTTATGTTATTGCCAACCCTAAGCATTTAAAAATTACAACTCAGGAGCTCCAAATTCAGAGACTGGCTCAATTGAAACTGGCTCAAAAAAAAAAAAAAAAAAAAAAAAGGCACACCAAAAAAAAAGAAAAATCGGGAGTGAAGTCCAGGTCCCACTGGAATTATGAAAGTTTTGTCACTTTTTTCCACTGAAATCTGGATTTGATCTAACAGGATTAACAGCAGCAGAATTTGCCTTTTGTTTTTGGAACCTTCGGGCTAAGCTATTGGAGCAATTTTTTCCCTTATACCCCAAAGGCTGGAAACATATCTTGTTTGGAACACAAGTTGAGATGCTCACACTCTGAAGAAGCATAAACTTAGAGTAAACGAATACCAAAAATCCAAAATTCTAATGTGTTAATAACCCTAGATTTATAATACAGACAATGAACATCAATAAACAAAACCCTCCCAGCATACAAAGCTTCAATTAAAAATAAATTATTAAAAAGAAGTATATAAGTTCATAATGCATAAAAGTAAGCACAAAAATATCTCTTGGTACTGCACCCAAATTTTAGAGGAGATTTAAAATATAGAATTTTTCCTCTATTTTACTCCACTTCAGCTAACCACTATTAAAATAGAAGATTTCCAGAAAAAAAAACAAACCACTTGGAAGTTCAACTGTTATTGTTGGAAGACCTAAGAAATTAGTAACATGATAAATAAATAGTCCTATGGCTATTGGCCTGTGGAACCACTAATCAACATTCAGGGGAAGCTTTTTAATTTCCTGCTCCTTGACTAGCCTTAGCATGTTCATGTGCTCAGGCTTTCAACAGAGCCTCTATGCCAGACACCGTGGAAGTTCATTCATCCAAATCATATAGAGGACATTACATTCATTTGGATAAACTAGAGTTTGGCTAGTTTAATACACTTGGCCCTGGCCAGATGACATGACCCCATTTTGGATAAGCCAAGTTTCTGGATAATCAGGGGGTTTATTAGCCTCTGAGTAGGGTTTTGACAATGACATCACAGGCTCCAACTAATTTGCTCAGGGAGTGCCCTATGGATGTTCTCATATGAAACCTTTTCCCAGTTTCTGAAATCTTGCACAGAGCAAGATGTTTTATCAAGCAAATATGTATTCTCTTTGACAACACTCCTTTCAGTTCTCCACTGGCGAAGATCTACAAAATGAAAATACAGAGAGGACAGCACATTCCTGATCCTGCTTTCCTGTGAACACCCAGTGATACCAGAGGAGATACTGGTGCAACAGAAAAAGAAATTAAGAAACACTATTTCACTGATCAAAATCATTGTTTTTCTCTGCCTTACCATTTTCCTGGGTGCTACTGAGTATACCATGTTCTGCTCCCACACAGATTACTTGACCCCATCAGCTCTGTAGTGCAAACTACCACTTACCCACATAGCAATGATAACCCTGGCAGCTACAAACAGCTCAGCTCATGTATCAGAACAAGTGAAATCAAAGCAGCACGGAGATGAACACCTCCCACTCCTTATCTGGGTGGCTATTACAGCTAAACTGATCCATGTCATCTCTTCAGAGCAACCTGTCTGGCCTCTGTCCTATATTAAAATTTCCTGTGCTGACATACCATTTGGCAATTAGCAAATTCACAGCAAGAAAACTTTTTTCTTGATCTTGTACCATGCCTTCGACAATGGGATTTTTGTTAGTGACCTGAAGTACTCTGAATTCTAAATAAATAATACATAACTGCAAAACCCTGGTGAATTAGAGAGCAACACTATGAAGATAGGACATAAAAGGAGAGGGGGATGCAAGACCCGCCCCAAAAACAGTTTAGTTCTATTATTCTAAGCATCATCTAAAGCTACTGTGAAGAAAAAGCTAAGAAAAAGGAGGTTCCAGCTGTTCATTTCACAGTGCTTGCACATTTAACAGCACAAATGGGATCTAACAGTTTATCTGCAGAAACAGCCACTTTCCCTTCATACCCTTAAAACCCAACAACAAAAAACCCCAATCAGAAGTCTCACTGTGTTCCCATACACAAACTGGCATTACTTTCAACTCAGTTGAGCCTGCCTCTCTCTACAAACCTCTCGGGGTAAGACCAAAGCACTTTATAGGGGAATAAACCTCTCCCACCAAAGGCAAAATTGTATTTAAGCCACAGCAGCTGTCAAGATATCATTATCAGATGGAAGACACTGCAACAGGGAGCACACAGGTAGGCAACAGAAGATGGCCAAAGCACCTGCAGACACACAAAGCTGGGATTACTTTTGCAACATGGCTTTTGAGAGATGCTGCCTTGATGAGGCCTCAGAGCTGACCATGAGCACAAGCACTACCATGGCACAACCATCACAGCCAGAATAAGTGAGAGCCAAATACGCCTTCACTGGGGAGATGTTAATCCTCCAGCAGCTTGGCAGTGCACAGACTAAACTACACAGTCACCCCATCGTCAACAGCATAGTCCTTGACTCTGTTTTTGCCAAAATTCTTCCTTTATCCTCCCTCTAAAGCACATACATTTAGGCTTTTTGCAGTTAGGGAAGTGTGTGGGGCTGAGGAGCATGGATTCTCTCTTCACTAAGACAAAAACTGCAAGTACAAATGCTGACGTTTCACAGCTTCTCATTGTGACAAGAACATAAAACTACCCATTGACTGTAAGCAGAGTTCACTACTTGGAGCCAAGTCTGGGCAGAGTGAGAGTCCACCTCTGCTTCCAGCCTCTCCCCACCTTCAAATGGGGAAAAAACCCACCCCAACCACCAAGGAACAATTAACACGCTAACAGCCTCATTTTCACTAGAAGTTAAAAGATGTTCCCCTGCATCAAAAAATACTCAGTTGAAAAGCATGGAAAACAGTATAAAATATATTAACTTTTCCCCTCTATTGAAATGCAGATTAAAAACTGCATAGAAACAGAAAAATCATCCAACTCCAACCAGTCTGAGGGAGAGATTCCTTTTACAATGCAGCACTTACTCCACAGATCAGAGAGCAATGAGAGGTGTTAACAAAGATCATCCAGACCATGCACTTCTCAGTGACAACTGCAAAATCCAGGTTTACTTTACGTTACCATCGCAACTCAGATGAAAGACACAAAAGCCACAGTGTGTGTCTTAATGCCTCTGTAAGAACATGGTATTTCCAAAAGTGGGAAATTCGCCATGGAACTCCCTTTTGAGATCAAAAACACACAAGGAAAACACATCCTTACAAGCATTGCTTAATCCCCTCAGCCTGCAAGTGAAACCCATGTATCAGTGAGTGTCCTACGCACACCTGTACTTCAAAATCTCTCCGCAGAACAGCGCTGCAAAATTACATTCTTACAAACTCCCACTTGAAATACTGATGAAGAGTGCAGCAGGCAACAAAGAGCCTGGAAAACACTCAAGCAGCAAAGCAAGTCATCTTGGAGATGGCTGATCTCCTTTCACAAGATGCTAATCCCAGGCCAACACAATGCAAGGGGAGCTGACTGCCATAAACTGCTACCACAATGCAAATGCTGCATAGGAATAGTACCTTATGGCCTGGTGGCAAATACTATCCCTGTTCCCATGGACATGGGTCACTTCTCCCACAGATTCTGACAGTTAATACTCTGGAATAAGTAAAAGGTCTCTATATTGGTCTCATGTGGACTCCCTATCTCAGCCAACATCTGCAAGATGAAAAACTACCCCTTGGGATTTTAACACAAAAACTCTGCAAAAGCTTACACCTCTGAGGAGCACAGGAAGAATAAAGGAACAATTTCAACAAGGATTAAAGCCCCAGAATCAGAGAGCATGGAAAGCACGCCCAAAAAACATCAGCTAAAGCCCAAGGTGGCTTGAACTACTGGAGGAATGATGGCAGAGTGTAAAGACCCCACCAAGGTTTCTCTGAGCCATTCTCCCTAAGCAGGAGGGGAAAAAAAACCCCACTTTCTAGTAATCTACAATATACTCCATGTCCTATACAGGGATGTGAGAGTCTGAATATTTGATATAAGAACAAACATTCAAGAGACAGTACAGTCTTGACCCTTAGCTCTTCTAATTCTCCATCCGTCCCCCGGTACCCTCTTGAGAAAAATGGTTCCTTCCTGCTCATGAGAAACAATTGTTTTTAATATTCATCACAAAATATGATTATTCATTTTCCATTATTGCTGGAGGCATTCGGAGGCTACATAGCTTTTTCAATACAGCATTCCACACTACCATAGCTTTAAAAGAAAATATGTACCCATTGGAAGAGACACTTTTCTGCTTTCTGCTTTTGCCTTTTCTGGTAATTATGAATGACATGTTTGCGATTTCCCAGATTTGAGAAATATGAAATTATTTTACAGTCATCCTCCTTTTGTCCTTTTATTTTAATACTTAAATTTCCATTTTTGAGGAGGAGGGGCACTGCCATAGCTCTGAATCAGTTCAATGTGTCTCAAATCACTGTAGTCAGGCTTTGCTTCACTCGTTTCCAAGTCAAAACACTTAACTAAAGACCAGAAAATTTATATCCCCCCCATGTTATGAATAATGGTGTGCTGTGTACACTACACAGGTTTCAGTTCAGAATAAAAACAAGGCTAAGATCTGGGATGGAAAAATACAGTAATACAATTCTCTACATAGCTGAGATTTTATCACAAGAGCAGTTTACGACTGCAAGTGCAAGGATGGACCACAGTACCAACATATTGCCCCTCTGAAACGAGAGTACAAAAACCAGCTGGCCAGCTCGCTCTTTTATCCATTTGCATCCACTTGACTTTTAAAGCCCTTAAGATAGATTCAGAGAAAGCAATTCCCACTGGAGAAGAGTCACAAATACACAAATGCTGGGGAAACTAAGGAAACTTTGTGTGCTAATCTTAACTCAAATGGACACTAGCAAATCAGACTCCATAACTGTAACCCTAGAAAGAAGCGACAGAAAACATCTTTCTTACTAGCCTAAAGAAAAGCACTGTTAATAATCCCACATTTCTTCTAAGGAAGAGTGGAATAAAATTATTAAAATTATTATATGAATGGGAGACTTTTTATCCCTGTTATCACATTTGCTATCTTGGCCCAGCCAGTTTCCTATATTCCTGCCTCTGTTAATCTCATTTGCAAACAGAAATGGGGAAAAAAATCTCAAACTGAGACTATATATTGACAATATACCTGGCTCAATATCACAGAGTTACAACCAGACCGAAAGATGCATGTAGTATCTCTGTACTCTGTGCCAGGTACCTTTTCTTTCACTCCCTTCCTTGAAGGAACAAGTATCCTGCTTAATAAATCAGGTTATGGTAAGGACAATGGAATCCACATCCTGTCTCAAAATTTGCCTCCAACATCTTAAAACTATACCACTTGGAACTTGATGCTCCTTCTGAAAGGAAACCAACATTTGCCATTTATTAAGGGAGTTTGCAAAATCAAAGACTTCATCCTGACTAAAAAAAATTCTCATTTTTTAATTATTTCTTAAGGTGTCAAGTAAAACCGTTTTAGGGGTTGCTGGAACGATACTGGCTTACATCTGTCATGTTTCAACAGTTTTGAAGAGAAAAGGAAATATTAACATAACACATTTTGTCACATTAGATAATGTCATAACTAAACAATTTAGAACTTGCAAACAGAACACTCATACTGCATACGTCTTCGCCAGTTTTTTCAGAAGTAATGAGCCTCAGCTGTGAAAGGGTCTTGCTTCATAAGGTATGCAATAAATCATCATCAGAGCAAACCCAGCTCCCATGTTGTTCGTTTTTGACTGCAATTATTAACACCTCACGGGATTTCACACAAACGTTTAGGTTAAGAAAATACTTAAGTGTATTTTTATTCGCATGAGGTTATTACATACTATTAACGTTTCTTCTAGCCACTTGTGAATTTAAGCGTCCTTTTCGATCGGAATACAAGTTGCAACTAACACGCTCAGTGGGAAAACATGAGAGCAATTCTGCCCCTTCGTATTAGGTAATTTAGCCTTGTAAAGTCTTGCTTTGCAGAAAGAGTTCTGTTTTTGAGGGGGGAGTAAAACAGCAGGCTCTAATAAGCAGTTAATTATTGGAGCAGAAAGTAAGCAGATTTGAGATCTGGACAGCAAAGTTCCAAAACGACTCTGAAAAGTCAAGCCTATTTCTGGCACCCTGGAGCTGTATGTCAGAGCCTTTCAGGGCTGAGCAATGTGCCTACATATAATACTGCAGAAGAGCAAGTACTCACATGCCCTTGGTCATCCAGCTCATTATTGGTAAGCTTCAGTTTGTCAAAGCTGATCACTTGTCTCATCCAGGTCTCCCCGGAGGCGGGTGAATCAGGGTGAATATAGACACGAGGTGGTACTGGAGAGTCAGCATTACCAGCCACCATCCACTTGGAACTATGATAAACATACCTATGAAGAGAAAGCAAATACCTATAACTGCAAACCCCAAAATAATTTATCAGACCCATTCAGTATTAATAAATTAGGGCCCATGCATACAGCAAGACCCCCATCAATTAACAAAATGTGAAAGAATGTAATTTTCTATAAACAGAAGCAATTTTTTTTAGTTTCAAAGCATAGTTCTGCCACCTGCAAAAATAAGGTTTAAAAACTGTGCTCTGATCTGACCTTAAATCTTCCTAAAATCAGTCACAATCTGAACACTAGGCTCCACACTGAGCTTTAAGCTGGTGCCAGTTCATTGACTGCTACAGCTCTGCTCTGCACAGGCATCAGCAAACAGGGAAGAATCTGATCCTTAATTTCTCAAATCTAGTATTAACTCCATATTTGGAAAATTTTACATGTTGAATCTAATATAAGAGTCCATAAATAAAGCTATTGAAGGGAAAGAACACTGTGATTGGGAAAAATGATGAAAGTATGTCAAACTGTGCTCTGGATATTTCCACAAGACAATATTAATTGGCTTGAAGAGTATTTCAAAAAGGATTAAAAATGAAAAAACCCATGTTTGTATTTCATTTGATATGCCAATGCTGACAAAATCATTTTATAATAAAAATGGTGCCTGCTTTGGTAGAAAACTTATTTTTAAGCCAGACACTTCACAGCATAATTTAAAAAGAACTAACTGAAATCTTCAAGTTATTTTTTCCAAGTACAGTAAAATTCCAGCAATTCAACTGTATTTTTTTCAAATCATAGTTTTGTACAATTCAGGTCCTTGTTAGAAAAAGGCAAACAACATAATCTGAACAGAAAACAAAATGATTCAATGCACGTATCACTCCATGCAATTCAGATCAAGCTGCAAAACTAAGATCTAGAATAGTGATGAAATTCTCTCCTGGGGACAAATTCTCAACCCCAGATTACTGTTGTAACACAGTCAACTGTTGTATCATTTTTAATTTGTTTTATATTTCTTGGCTTATACTAAATACATGCTTTCCTTGCATAAGAAAATAAAGTCATAAATACACATAAAACATTTTGAGGAACAGCTTAAGCTTCCAAATGTTTACAAGGTCAAATTTTGCTATAAATCTAGACCTAGGTGTAATTTTCTTCATTTCCATTAGGTTTTGCTCTCTGCTCTGTCAGCTAAAGACTAGGCTCTATGTTACTGCTGTCTAGTCTATCTAAATTTGAATACCTGCAAGACAGTCTGTGAAGCCACATATACAGCCAGAGTTAAAAAAACACTCAGCAACTAAAAGCACAGCAAAGAATGACAAGTGGCATCAAGTAAAACATGTAAAATGTTAATATTTAGTGGAAAGGTTAAAGGTGTGGTTACTAATAGATGAGTACCGAAATTTAAGCTTGTCAACTAAGAAAATACTGTCCTTCACACAGTTTTTGTTAGGTTACTTAGGCTATTTGAGCACCACGTATCACACTGCACAGACAGTGCAGGTCAGTGTGACTTCAATTATTTTAAATGAAATGGAGTTTAAACAACTCATATTCTATATAACTGCTTTCAATTTTTAATATTAACATTTTAATTCATTTGGAATTACTGCCTTGCTTCTTCTATTAATTTAGGAATTGCCAGACCTTCTAGGAATTATACTTCTACGTTGTTAAGTGAATGCGCACATGCAACACAAAGCAAGAAAAGAGCTTTCATTTGAAGTATACAGTGCCAGTCCAAAGGGAAAAACAAAAAGGCATTTTTTCCTCTGTGATACAGTCAGAAAAGCCTCCCCTAACTGTATATGCTGGGCATCCTCAGCACTGGTATCTGCCCCTTGCTGAAAAACACATAATCTAAAATAGTTCTTAGAAATGTCTTATACACCATGCGAGAAAATGACAAAATTACAGTCAACAAGGAAAGGACACAAAAAAATTTAGGGCAGCATATCCTTCAGAAGTAAGGCAGCATTCCTG